GAGAGAGAGAGAGAGAGAGAGAGAGAGAGAGAAAGAAAGAAAGAAAGAAAGAAAGAAAGAAAGAAAGAAAGAAAGAAAGAAAGAAAGAAAGAAAAGGAAAGTCTGTTTGACCAGCAGGAAGTGATTTTCTCACACTTGGTGGCTGAAAATCTGGACCCAGTGTGTTGGCGGAGCTGGTTTCTCCTGAACCCTCTCTGTGGTTGTTGATGGCTACCTTTTTACTGTGTCTTCACCTGACCTTTCCTCTGCACAGCCCTAGTGTCTGTTTCATTTCTTACAAGGACACCAGTTACATTGGCCAGTAGCCTCACGCTTATGAGCTCTTTCTACTTGGCTTCTTCTTTGTTTTTAATAAATTTTTTTATGCATTTAGTACAGGGTCTACAGGGTCTCACTGCACAGATTAGATTTGTAGTGATCCCAGTGTTTTCAGCCTCCCAAGCACTGGGAATGCAGGCACTCGCCACCACACCCAGTCTTGTGGTGCCTGGGTCAAACCCCAGTCCCTTGGCTCTCCACTTGCCTTTTTCAAAAGTTGCTATCTCCTAACGCAATGAGGATTCAGGTGTCAACACAGGCATTTTCATTCCAATGAGACTGATTAGTAAACAAGTAGAAATACTATAAAAAGACAATAGAAATGTCGAGCATTGTAGGGCTTGTGGAGACTGGTCAGCTGAGAAAGAGAAGTGACTGGACTAGTGTGAGAGATGAAGGAAAAGCCTCTCTGAAAAGGAGAGACTAAGTGATAGCACCAGCTGTTGTGCTAGTAATCTATGCTTGAATTTGCATCTGCTTTGGAAGTCCTGTGGAAAGCACGCAGCCTCCCTCAGGCCATGGCCTCATCCTTCTGTGCTGCTTCATGAGTCTGATGGCTTGGTGTAGTGATCTTGAATCTCTTCTAGGGTCTCAGTTGGGCCCTAAAAATGTAAATTTATTATTTAGGACATGGCTGTGGAATTGCATCTCCTGTGGGATTTTTCATAACCACAAATAACCGTAAATTCAGTGCAAAACAGGAATGACCTTGAGGGTAAGGTATTTCCTAACTTCCAAGTCTCCTGACTTCCCTAGCCTTTTTGATGGGTGTTGCAAAGAACTGGTCATCTATCCACTATCAACAAGCAACTCAGACAATCTGGACAGAGAATACCACTTCCACTTTAATAAAATAGTAACTCTTCTGCTTTAAATATATCTTAATATACAGGGTTTACGGGACGACTTTCTGAGGAGATATGAGCTTTGTTTTTCCACATAGGCCTTAAAACAAATTTTGCTATCATGATTTCTATAAACTATGTAATAAATTGTTCTAATCATGATTATCATAAGTTCTGTATAACTGTGACAATAGCTTTGTTTCCAGCATTTCCTGGAGTTTCTGTCACTAGCAGGTATCTTCAAAAAGATCCCATTGTCTTCCAAATTACTAATCTCTGCTCTGTATGACCTGCCACAGAAACATTCTATGGATTTTGACACAGGCAAATAGAAATGACAAATGCATCAGTTTACACCGTAACCTCCTGTGCTTTTTATATAAAGCATACAAAAGTTCTCCTGAACTTTGCAGTGGTGATTTAAGCTATTATGTGCTGTCAACATAATGTGTCTAGCAGTGAAATAATTCTAGGTATACAGACTTCTTCCAAGGTTACCTTCAAATGAAAAGGCTATGAAACTTCACAATATTGTGCTCATTTTCTTGTACGGGATAAATTAAATGTGTTTTTGTTTCTTTACCTTTTGGGCCCCAGATTTTGCTGTGTTTTTATACATCATTTTTCTTTTTCAGTGCTAGGGGTCAAACCCAGAGCCTCTTGTGTGCTGGACAAACATTTTACCTCTGGGCTACACCCCTTACCCAAGACTTTGTGTTACTTAAAAAATGCACATTGGACTTGGATTGTAGTTCACTGGTTGAGGGTTTGCTTAGCGGGCACAAAGCCTTGAGTTCAATCCTTAGCACCACACAAGGCAATATATGTATAATTTTTTTCTCATGGCATCCTTGAAATAATAGCTCAGTTTCACAAGACTCCTCCCATAGTAAGTAAATGTTTCAGCTTACCAAGTGGCCCCACCTGCCAGTGGCTAAATTTAAAGTTACCAGAAATAAATTTATTTCCCTAAACTGGTATAGTGTATTATATGTAGCATCTACCGACCATATGTTATCTTGCATTATCACCCAAATTCTATTTTAAATATGCTAAAACAGCTTTTTTTAATGTCTACTTCCTATTGACCACAGTACCTTGTTGCAAAATGTGCAATGTATATATTTCATGAATTAACAAATATATTTAAATGATTGTGAAAAATTCCTATAGTATGAGCCTGTAAGAAAGACAGGACATATTCCCCAACTCAGAAGTTATTCGTTATACGTGTGTGGTGGTGGAACTCGCTTTATCACCTGAAAACCATTGACACCACCACCACCACCATAAGCACTGCCAGTCCCAGTTCACTTCAGCACTGGACCAAAGTCATATGAAGAAAGCTGGACACCCCATCCATCTTCATGTCCCTTTTCTAAAGTTGGTCACTGGCATCTACTTTGTGCTAGTGTTACAGTCCCATAGTCCATGGTTATTTTTTTTCATACATCTTTTACCCAGTAACAAATGATTATTAGTGTACCATATGTGTTTACTTTGGAGATTTACCTTAAATTAAGAAGAAGAAGAGGGAAGCTATAGGGTAAGAAAACCTCAGTGGATTGCACATGGCCAGTGAAGTGGCAGATCCAGATGCAAAACTATGTGTCATTTCTTCTAAAGCCTTGGCTGTTCTAAAGCCATGACCCACTGTTACCTACCTCGCTGAAATCTAAATATTTGAAATCATAACTGCAAAGCTATGTAAATGTTCTTGAGAGACCTGATAGGGAGAGTGCAGCCCTGAGATACATAATTCATGTTTTATAAATTCTGGAAGGTAATCTTACTACTTTTCATTAATATGCTCCCATAATTTGAACACTGAAGTGTCTGTAATTCTAGAATAGAGACTGTCCTAAGTATAATCAGTGCTGATTTTAAGATGCTAACAATTCTGTGGAGAGAAAAACAAAATGATACCCTCAGTTTAAGGGCAATGTCAGAGATGACAATTTATTATAATGTATGTAAAGTAAAATTTTAGGTAATTACTCTTAGGCTATACATGACTCACACAATTTAAATGTATCTTTCTGTTTGTGTGATGACATATTATAGAATGAATATCTAAATGAAGATGTTGATGCTAGAGTTATTGAATATGAAGATAACCGACCCCTTTTAGATATGTTTCTGCAGAAGCCAATGGGTTTACTATCCCTACTTGATGAAGAAAGTCGATTTCCCAAGGCCACTGACCAGACTCTTATAGGTGAGTTTTAAATCCAGAATGATTTAATGATTCTATAAATACAGTCATATAATTCTAGGTGTTTTTTAAAAAAAAAATTTAAGTAGTCTAGGAGAAAATAACTATCACAAAGAAGAGACTTTGGGTCCAATGCCTGGACTAGTGGATGTTTATGATGACAAAAAATATTTAGTGATTAATTAAACAAGGTTAGATATTGGATTTCTCCTTATTTTATGGTAGAGTCTCAACCACAGAATGAATCCCAGATTAGAAGACCTTATATTTTATCAAACCTGAAATTAGAATTTGGTGGGCAATGTAGAAAGAGAGATCTAGAATTTGAAAAGAGAAAGCTAGCAAATGAGAAACAAATTCATCTGTGATGTTTGAGCCATTTATTTAATAGAGGCAATCAACCTCAGATACCTTAATAACTTTTGAGGTTCAGCACACTAATAAGTGTTTGTGGTAATAATCCTGAGTCATCAAAGAGAAACTTAATGTATTCAGTTTTTCTGTTTGAGAAGACAGAGATGTGTATAATATGTTTAGAAAGATTATCATCCAAAATAGTTAAAATTGAAAAGTCCAATTTCATAAAGGAAAGAACTTCAGAGTTTTCAGGCAACCGAGGAAGTCTCTTTCTGATGTAGAATACCATATTCCCTGATGATGAGAGATATTATTTTTAACAAATACTTGCAGTTTTTTCTTATTTTTGGTGATATGCAGATCCTATTTTCTACCATTAAGTCTATAATGTTGCTCTCTCCTGACTCACTGATTCACTTATTCTCTCCTCTAATTGGAGAATTATAAATGGGGAAAAAAACCAAGGTTATAGGAAACGTAACGTCATAGGAGTCTCTTGACATATCAAAGTGTTCTTTCTAGGATGTAGAATACAAAGTTATCTGAATGTCTTAGAACTGTCACAGAAATGTAACTGCCTTTTCTGGGGATTTTTGTGCTTCATATATAGTTAATAGTGACCTCCAGCTCTTCCAGTGGAAGGGTGGCTAAGCCACCAAAATTTGGGATTCAAGACTGAGCACCAAACTCGGTCTGACGAGCTTTTCAGCAGCTTATTCTCAAAGCAGTTCCCTTCATCTAGACTAGCGATTCTCAAAGTACAGATCTCGAGCCAGGAACTTCCGTGGCACCCAGGAACATGTTAGAAATGTGAATTGTTGGCCCCCTTTCCAGACCTGTTCAATCAGGAACGTGGGGTGGGAGCCAGCAGCCCATGTGTTAGTCTTCAGAGTGATTCTGATGTTTTCTAAGATTGACAACTGCCCTAAACCATGATGCAATGGTAAAAATTCAGGATCATGAGTCTTTTGTTTACTACTTATAACAATGTTCCAAATATGCATAGATTAGCTATAAAAAATTTCCAGTGTAGAGGGCCAGCCAGATAGCTCAGCAGACTAAAGCACCTGCATAGGCAGAGCACAGTGGCTGGGGCTCAAACTCCTGCCTGCCATTCCAGCCCCACCCCCAGGGCATGCTGAACCGTGATTGAGACTAGGTGTGGTAGCGCACACCTGTAATCCCAGAGCTTGGGAGGCTGAAAACAGGAGAATCACAACAAATCCAACCTATGTAGTAAGACCCTGTACATCCTGTACACCCTGCCCTAAATTCATAAAAATATAAAATAAAATTTCCTGTGTACTGTATGTGATGGTGAAAGAAATGATGCAAACTGCCAGTTTTTTCTGAGGATCTTCTACATGCATGTTATTTGGAGTTTTAATTATTGACATTTTTTTCTTACAGAAAAATTTGAAGGTAATCTAAAATCACAGTACTTCTGGAGACCCAAAAGAATGGAACTTAGTTTTGGAATTTATCATTATGCAGGAAAGGTAAGAATTCTCAAGAATTATAACTTAATTTTCTTTTTAACCTTTTATCAAATAATGAGGATTGCCATGGAAACTAAGGTCCAAAATAAGTCAGATGTGGTGGCACACACCTGTAATCCCAGCACTTGGGAGGCTGAGGCAGGAGAATCATTGTGAGTTTGAGACTAATGTGGGCTACAACATGAGCTCAAGACTAGCCTGAACTGCATAGCGAGACCCTGTCTCTAAAAAAGACCCCCCAAAAAAGTCCAAAATAGTGGTAGATGGTTGTAATGAAATGGCCAGTGATTTCTGGCCCCACCTGGCCCCATTCTGCTCTTCAGGACCCTGCAGTCTCTCATAGCCTTTGTCGGCCATTGCCCCTGGAGACCACTGGCACTGCAAGGCATACACCTCTGATCTGTTACTAAGGTAAAAAACAAATCCTTGTCTTATGACAGAGTTGTAACAGTAAGCTCTAGTTTTTGTAAAGGAAATTTCATTAAGAAACTAAAGAAAAAATGAAAGAAGGAGCCAAGACTCAGAGTTTATCTTTCTTATTATAAGAGTTGGCTGTAAGTGATTAGCTGGCAAGGGTTACCTAATTTTTTATATAACAGTACTAAGAGTCTTTTGTGTAAGCTGTACTGTGCTTTTCAGACTTCTAATTCCTCTCTCTCTACTGAAGCCCTTATCTCTCCTCTCTCTCAATACAAAAAGGAATAGAGAGCAGAGCTAACCCAGTTAGGTGGAGTTGGCTGATGGACTGTTACATGATTGGAGGAAGAAATGTTCACTCATCGGTTGAGACACATGCACACACCAAAGAGCCTTAGGTCTGACTGAGTCCTACATGCAGAGAACGCTTCCCTTCCCTTCATTGTTGCAGAATAATGGGCCACTCCCTCCCAGTGATGTCATAAATACTAGCAGATTTCAAATCAAGGTAGAGAAGACATTCAGATGAAGGGATGGGAAAATGAAAATATATAAAAATAAAATGATCAAAATGGCAACTACTCTGTTTGGCAACCTTCAAATATTCCACAGACTTTTGTCATTAAAGTGTAGACCTTAAACCTTGAAAATTATAACCTCTGTTAGGACTTTGAGCATAAAATTTTCTAAATGAAGCCTCTTTCAAGACTCTGCATCAGTAATTGTCTGTGACTATTTTATCCAATTTTTTTTGTGGGGGCAGAACCTAGAATCCAACTCAGGCCCTTGCGCTTGCCATGGAAGCACTTATTCCACTGCGACATCTCCCTGGCAGCTGTCCAATATTTTTAAACAACTCTTTTAGTTTCATGAGGCTGCATAACAAGAATGTCATAGGTAGGGTGGCTTAAGCAGTGGAAATTCATTTTTCTTTACAGTTCTAGAGCCTGGAAGTTCCAGATCCAAGTAGCACCTGGTTGCAGCCTCCTTCGTGGTTTACAGACAGCTGTCGTCTCACTGTCCTCATGTGGCCTTTTTTCTGTATGCATGCAGAGAATTTTGATATGAATGTGGAGGAACACAGTTCAATACATAACAACCACCCTCTTGGGTTATCCTTCAGAAGTCTGTGAATTACTCTCATCTTTAAGACATCTTAAGATTATTTGAAGTATCAGAAACACAAACACCCACTATCTGTTTAGATGCCACTACTAAGGTAAAAGTCAATCATAGCCAATCAGTGCAGATGGATAGTTATTATAGAATCAGGAATGCCTTGGTAAACACAAATACTTCTCATCCCTCCAAATATAAAAAAGAAACATACCAAATTCCAATGTAATGGGAAGAATCAAACTACGGTGTGAGCCAAATAAAATCAGTGAGACACAAGTTATTTCTTGTAGGACACATTTCATATACAGAAGTTCACTTTTCCAGTCAAATTATAAGGGATTATCTTTGTAATCTTTCTATCCCTATTGCCAGCATAGAGTAAAAACACTCAGTAAATATTGATGTTGATGATGTTGATTCTGATTGTGGTCATGACAACAGCATCCTGAATCAACAGGTCCTCTACAGTGCAAATGGATTTTTGGCTAAAAATAGAGACACTCTTCCAACTGATATTGTGCTACTTCTGAGATCATCAGAGAACAGTGTGATTCGGCAACTAGTCAACCTTCCTCTGACCAAAACAGGTAAGGTGATTTCCAATCAAAGCCCAATCATGTAGTTTCTGTCTCTTTTATTTATAGGAACATAATCCCCAACTTTTTATGTTAATTTGTTTTCAACTCACAAAATATTCATTTATTGATATCCTCTACCCCAGGTCATCTGAGGAACATACATAAATCAATGTGACAAAGCTAGACTTTTTATTAGTGTTTGAGGCATTTATATGGGTCATAGTGGTACATGCTTACAATCGCAGCATTTGAGAGGCTTAGGCAAAAAGATCATGAGTTCAGAGCTAGCCTTGGCTATGTAGGGAGCTCCAGGCCAACCTGGAATACAGAGCAAGACCTCGTCTCAAAAACAGAAAATAAACCACACATCTTCATCCAATTAACCATGCATACTCTTATATTTGTATCTACATCGTAAAACTATAGTTTGGGTGAGAGGCACCTGCAGACGTAAGCTTTCTATGTGCCTTGACTCGTCGTAGGCACATTTCTAGTTTAAGTAAGCTTATTTTTGTCCTAAAACTTAACTTTACTTTGCCTCAGAGTGGTCTGAGCTCTGGTAATTTTTTAATAAAGACTTCTGTGCAAAAGATCTATGTCAACCCAATTTTGGGTCCCGTCCTGACCATTGCATGCTATTTCTATGTGATTTTTTTTTAAATGAATTTAGTACAGGGTTTACAGGGTCCTCACTACACAGATTGCACTTATAGTGATCCTCCTGTTTTCAGTCTCCCAAGGGCTGGGATTACAGGTGCATGCTACCTGGCACCCAGTCTCAATCGCCATCTCAGCATGCCCAAGGGGTGGATCCAGCACAGCACACCAGGGATTGAACCCCAGCCCCGGTGTCTACCTAAGCAGACACTTCAATCTGCTGTGCAAGCTATTTCTGTCTTCCTAACAACCATTCCTCTTGTCTACCTCTTTGGTCTTTGATTTCATTCTCTGACTTTGTGAGACATGGACCCAGATCATGCTGTTACATCACCAAAATTATTAGTGAATCTATTCATCACCACAAATGATATCTCCTTATGACACTTCCCTCCACTCTTCTCTGTCACTTTCAAACATTCCAGCACCATTCTGGGGGGAAATGATGCCCCCATTGGATTGCTTTGACACTGTTCAGACGACTTCACTTTTTTGTGTCACTGACATTGATCTATCTTTATGGCAGTACCTCACTTCTTGATGTGTATAACTTACAGAAGAATCTGAAATGGGCAATTTTAGGTTATGTTGCTGTCTCTAAGATTCTAAAAAAGCCATGGTCATTGCATCACGGCTTCATATATGAACTTTATCTCAACTATCGTGAAGGGAACACGGCACATTTCCTTGCTAGTCACATCTCTGGTTTGCTTTACGGCCATTTTGTTTATCAGATCAAGTATGAAGGCAAAGTGGATACATTTTCTGAAATTAAGATCTATGCTAATTTTAGCTTTTATTGTCCTCCACAAATAAATTTTTAAAAGATTCTTCACTTACTTTAAGTAATTTGATGACTACTGTATACATTAATTAAGTGACGCTATTACGCTTTTACTAAATTTCTTCTAGTCTTTTCATTTTCAGGTAAATATTAAATTTAAATTATTTGACTAATATTAGGGAATCGGCTTAGCCTGGTTAATGTGTTCCTAAAACTTTGTATACTTATCATGCTTATAAGAAATCCCATGAGGCTGTGATAATTTTGGTTTTTGGTTTTTGCTTGGTTGGTTGGGGTTTGTTGTTGTTGTTTTTTGTTTGTTCATTTTTTTTTTTTTTTTTTTTTTAGGGAAGGGTCTACAGGGTGTTCAGCATCTCACTACTAAATTGGACTCATAGTGATTCTCCTGTTTACAGCCTCCCAAGTGCTGGGATTGCAGGTGCACACCACCACACCCAGTCTCAGTGCACCCCGGGGACAGGGACAGTATGACAGGCCCAGGGATTGAACCCCTGGACTTTGCACCTACTTGCAGGTGCTTTAACCCACTGAGATAGTTGGCCAACCTGTGATAGTATTTTTTCAATTAAATCTTTTTCTAAAACTTTCTTTGGTAATGATAAAAAATAACAGTGAATGAAACTCGTGTGTTACTGCCTGTGTCCATCCTGCCATAGTTAAGTTTCACATTTCACAGTTGCAGCCCACTGTGGAAGCCATCCTGTACACCCCTCTCAGCCATTTTCCTGAAATAATGAAGGAGGAGAAAGAGAGCAAATCAGAGGTACCACCAGCCTCATCTCAGACAGGGTTCCTTCCTGCCCCATCATCTTAGGGCTAACCTTTTGCAATTATGAAAAACTGGGAAAGATTAGTGAAAAACATGTAGTCTCTGGCTATCACCTAAAACAAGGAGGAGAAATAATCTTTCTGAAATGATACTGAATTTTGAAGATATTTGGAACATTACCTTGGGGTGGTGAGCTCTTGGATTGTGTATTAGTTTGGTTTATTGTATGTGATGCTTGTATTACTTGTCTTCTTGTTGCTTGGACAAAATAGTTAACACACACAACTTAAGAAGTGGTTTACTTTGGCTCAATGTGAGATCTGGCTTCAAGCCACAAATATCATAGCAAAACAGCACAGCAGAGGAAGGCTGCTAACATGGCCAGCAGGAAGCAGAGAGAACGAGGAAGAGCAGGAGAAAGAGGCCCGATACAGCTCCCAGTGCCACCCCTACGCCCCACACAGAAGTGAGCTTCACCAGTCTCTCAAGCCAATCATGCTGACAGTCAGGATTAACCATCACCATAGATGGATGAGAAAGTAGTGAAAATGACCCACCAATGGTCATTTGGAGTCAAACCCAAGTCTTTCTAGCTTCTATGTCCATCACTGTTTCACAGCTTTGGATTGACTATCTCTACGTAGCCTCTCCTATGAAGCATAAGTCTAAACGTTAGACTGAATGACCATTTCTTTCAGTCACACTTGATTTGCTTATAAGCACCTCATGTGAATATTTTTTAAGGCTCATCATAAAGACCAGTTTTAGTTGTAGAAAAATCTTCATTGTCAATTAATATACACATAATAAGCAAATCACTATCTTTGTAATACTTGTCTCATACTACCTCACAATTGAAAGGAACTACAACTCATACCTCTGCCCTTTATTTCTTCCCAAACTGGAAGATTTGGTGTCTTTGTTTTTGTTTGAGAGGGTGGTCTGGATTTAAGGTTTATTATAAACTTTTACATTGTGTTATTTTATCCTTGTCTCCATAAATAGTTATCTAAGGACCTGAGTCTTATTATTGTGAGTTCAACAGTGCTTATTTTAAATAAATGCCATAAAAATTGTTTAATGATTCAGGATTCTATGAGGTAAATTGATTTTATTTACATCCCATAGGTAACCTGCCACTATCCAAAACTAAAAATGTAATAAACTATCAAATGAAGACTTCAGAAAAATCAGTTAACCTGACAAAGGTAAATTAAAAAAAAAAACAAAAACATTTTTCCTGAGTCTAGAATCCAACATGTGCCAGTGTGGTGTGCTCCTTAAAGGAATGGCTTTTCCTTAGCTTTTCTCTCTTTGATGCATCTTTTCTCTTTAAATGGCTATTTGTCATCATCATGTTACTGACAGCAGATCAAATATACATTCCTGATACATTCCTAAGACTCTATAAAAATAGTTTTAAATGTTACACTAAAGTCAACAAAAAAAATGTATTTATTGGCTATGAACAGAAATAGCTGCATTCTACATGAGACCAATCAAAATAACAATACAACTAACAAAAAGGTTACTTTGAAGTATAAATATTAGCCACATTAAATAGTTTTGTATATTTAAACACAGAAATTAAGGTAACCTAAAGGAATAATGCCATGTGCTCTCTATAGATCATAAACTATAATAGGTACCTTAACTTCACTGTCTTACTTGGTCTTTTTAGGGTGAAACTGGAGAAGCCACTCGACATGGCCTAGAAACAACCAATATGAAAACCCAAACAGTTGCATCATATTTTAGAGTAAGATATTTCATTATGGTGGGCTGAGTTTAGGGGATGTTATTGTAAATGAATTATAGATAACAAAATCTGATCACAAAAATCAGCGTTATTTATTGTATCCCATTTGAGTATTTGTTAGATTCAGACTATGTCAAAATGTACTGTTGAGGGGCCGGGGAGATGGCTCAGTAGGATAAGTGCTTCCCTGGCAAGCGCTAAGGGCCTGAGTTCAATCCCTGGTTCTGAAAAAAAAAATGTACTGTTGATATTTAAGCTGCAAAACTACTTTTGTTTCTCCATGATAATCTTGCTAGAACTCTATTTCCTGATTAAAATTGATCAATAGAACCAAATGCATTTCTACTAGAATAAGATCTAAAAATAGTTATTAATTAAGTGCTAAAATTATCAATTCTCTTTCCCCTTCTGAACGAATTTAAGATAAATAGCAGGGACAAGGCTGAGCATGTGTCTCCAGCTCACGTCTCCAAGCATATATGTGAGCTATGCAACAGCAGGGTAGGAGAAGCCAGCATAGGAATGGAGTGGAGAGAAAAGTCGGGGAAGTTGCTCACCATGGGACCAAGCAGAGCTGCCCTGGACAATAAGAAGGAAAGAAAAGCAAGAAGCACTTCAGTTTTTTACATGCTCTAGAAAACTCTAGATATCCATCCATATTTTTATCTCTTCTGATAAAATCAGATTATCCAACCAATGAAATGAAGAAAAAAAATACCATCTCAGACTGAGAGATTAGCAGTTGACATAATTTAATGTGGGGGAAGGAGAGGAAATTGGATTTGGCTTACTATCAGTGTCCAGCACTATTAGTCTCCAGCTCTCTAACACCTTCATGAGATACTTCTTAAACTATGTGAATATTTTGATCAAATATTCTTCAAGCCCTAAGCTCAAAGCAGATAGCTAGGTACGCTCAGTCACCCATGGTACCTTAGTGCCTTAACCTGAGCTGCTGATGCATTCCCTTTACTTAAAGAAACACAGGTGAATCATTGAAAGTGTTAAGTGCCATGTTATTTTCTTTTTTATGTGAATTATGCACACTATTATCATAACTCTCCTATTGACATCAGGTTTAAATGAGATTATTTCACGAAATCATTTTCATCCTCAGGGCTGAACTGAGAAATGATAGAAGATAATTCTACATACTATATAGTAGTTTTTAAAGCTATTTTTCATTCTACAGGCAAGAATGAATAGAACACAACACTATGCTAGGGCCCCTAAGAAAATTCAGTGCATAGGTTGCAGTAAACTGCTCCTTAAAACTCCAGCCCATAGGTGTCCCTTTCGCAACAGCAGTGCCAATCAGATGTTGGAGTAGCCAAGGGAATGATGAGTTGCATGATGAAGGGGCTCCACAGTGGCAGACCCAGCTATGTGGAAAGGTCACTTCTGAGTCCCAGTAGCCAAGAAGAAGGCATGCAAATTCAGTGCCTTGCCAGTTGCCCAGTTGTAGTACTGTTTGCACGTATGACTATAGACTTGTATATTTCCACACACGAAGAGATACATCTGTCATCACGTCCCATGCCTCAGTGTTATTTTGCCAATAGTGTTCTCGTCCTTGAGGTATAGCTTGCTGGAATTGTACATTTAGTGAACCATGATCATCCTAGTATGTTATTATTTACTGCCCAGTTATCAATTACTATGATTTCAATAAGGTCCTGTTGCAGAGCAAAGCTTATTGTCATATGAACGAACACTTCTCCTAAAATAAGGAAGAAAGTGAACAAGCTGAAGCAAACTAGAATAAAGTGAATACAACTTGCTTATTTCTATATTCTAAAGTATTTTAAAATAAGAGATGATTGGGATAGTAACTAAAGTGTGTACTTTTTGCACTCTCTATAAAGAGAACTTTAAACAAGAAAATTAATTTATAAACTGGATTAATCAAACTGTGTGTCTAAATATTATAATTCAGTAAATGTGCTTGAAAGGATTTAATTGCTCACAAAACTATTTTTACCTGTTTAAATGAAAGTTGTTTTAAGAGTTTATAGGCAAACTTTTAATGGCCAAGTTTTGTCTTACTGCTTCCACATTTTCATAAGTAAATGTGTGATGTTTAAGATATAAGTAAAACTTCTGTTAAATTAGATCTCCCTCCACTTATTTCTTAGTATGATCATTTGTTAACATTAATTTTTCAGATTTTATCAATTTAGTAAAAAGATGTGCAAGCTCATAAGTTTGTGTATGGTATCCCAGGAAATTTATTTTTATTACATGTTATAGTACTCTCTGATGGATTTGTTATCTAAAATGGTGGTGGGCCAACCTCATTTTGTCCGTTGCATCAAACCAAATAATGAGCGTCAGGCAAGAAAGTATGACAGAGAGAAGGTTCTGCTGCAGCTTCGCTACACAGGAATTCTGGAAACAGCAAGAATTCGAAGACTGGGATACTCACATCGGATACTCTTTGCTAACTTTATAAAGCGGTATGTGGATTACACATTTTTTTTTTTTTCAGAACTTGGGATTGAACTCAGGCCTTTGTGCTTGCCAGGAAAGTGCTTATTCTATTGAGGATTTCACTTTAAGTTTCCATTGTATAGCCTCTGTAAAACTTCTTCAGAAGAATTATAGGAAACAAAATAGGAAAGAATTACCTTGGTGGTTGAGCAGGGAGGCATTTTGTTCGTGCAAATGATTTGACATTGAAAAAGAGAAGGGAGCTCTTTACGGGGAGGGGGGAACTCTCTGTGGCCACAGAAAATGCCAGGCAGACCCCAGAATGTCAAGAGGCCCAAGTCTCCATACTGAGAAGCTGAAGACCTTCCTTGACATCCTAATTCTGTTGCTTGGTATGGGACATATAAAGCAATTCTCAGCTAAAATCTTTTGAGGATTTTACCCCTCAAAAGATACCTGGGAATGTCTGGAGGTGTTTTTGTCTGTCAAACCTAGAAGAAGAAAGTTCACTGGCGTCTGGTGAACAGAGGTGCTGGATGGTGCTAAACATCAATTCTACAATGAACCAGGCACCTCCACACCATAAGGAACTCTCCCTGTCCAAATGTCACCACTGATGAGGCGTTGGTGGTATAGTGGTGAACACAGCTGCCTTCCAAATGTCACCACTGCTGGCATTGAGAAACCCCGGCCAATGTGGAGCATCATTTTCTCCACCTGTAAATCTTCTGTGACTACCCGATAGGATGGTTATAATGGTTAAGTCATGACGTTATGCCTAAAGTTGACCTAGCAGATATAAAAGGCCCCTTAGGTTATGTCAATTAAGAAAGTCAGTTTTTAAAAGAGTCAATTAAATCTAAGGAGTTCTTTCAACAGTTGAGGCCAATGTAAAATTAATTAAGCTAATGGTAAAAGTATTTGGTGGGTTGACAGAAGATAAAATGAGAAAAACAGTAGAGTTAAAATTATGAAGACAACCTTCAATGACTGGCTAACGCAATATTTTTAAAAATAACCAGGGTTTTACAATATAAACCATAAGGAGAAATAAAACTATTATGTTGATAATGTTGCATTTGAAAGATATTTGTTTAATTAGGTCAGAAATGAGACTAAATTATTTTACTATACATATATTTCAAAGTTCTGTGCTATAGTAAAGTATGAAATTACTATATAATAAATGAGAAAGAACTACATAGAAAACATATAAATAATGGTTCTAAATAACAGAATGTTGCAGGAAGTTAAACTTTTTCTGTCACTAATTTGAAAGGTGTCATCTAAATTGGCATAGATACTTAGGAAGGCAGAACAATTTGCAGCACTCTTGTGGAGGTGTAAATGGGACTTAACTAATCCTCTTCTGTCCAGGCTTAGCTCTGACTAACCCACCCCAGAGGATGCACAGTTCCTCACCCCTTTTATCTATCCTGTCTTCTGCTATGTGACAAAGAACAATCTGAAGTGAAAATGTGAGGTGAGAACTTGCTTGGCACAAGGCGCCGTGTTGGTCAGCTTTCTCGTGCCGTCGCAAATACCTGAGATCATCAACTTTGAAGAAAAGGTTTCCTCTGGTTCACAGATTTGGGGTTTCTGTCCATGATTGCTTGGACTTGTGGGGGCTCATCAGTCCCATGTGTAAGTAAAGGACAGAGGGAAAGGAAGGAAGGGGCCAGTGTCCCAGTATCCCCTTCCAGGGTGTACCCCCAATGACCTGAGAGCCCCTGCTGGGTCCCCTTCTTAAATATCCCATAGCTCCCTGTAGCACTACTCCAGGGAACAAGCTTTCAACACATGGAAGCTTTGCAGGCTTCTAGTGTTTTTCGAATGTCAAAAGAAGAATAAAATTTCTCTCTGTTTTTCACAATTGAAATCCTTCTACTTTTAATAAAGTTTTTTAGTTGGAGTTCAACATTGAAAATCAATCATAGAGGTAGAAAACACATTCATACAATAGACTGGTCTTGGATTTGCATGTCTGTAGTGGTCTACTTGGAGTGTTCTAAGGATGGGCCTGTGTCCCAATATCCCCTTCTAAGGATGGGCTTCTTGTGCTGGGACTGTCCCCTTCCCTCAGACAAAGCTGTCCAGTGGCCATCAGAGTAATGAGATGTTAGGCTGCTCTAGTGTTCTAACTGGCATCTTTTCCCATTTTCAGATACTATGTTCTCTGCTACAAGTCAAGTGAAGAGCCCCCAGTGAGCCCAGACACCTGTGCTGCCATTTTGGAAAAAGCTGGTCTTGATAACTGGGCCCTTGGAAAAACAAAAGTAATGTTTTCAAATGATTTTTATAGAAAGCTGAAAAATTATATTGTATTTATTGAGAATGACAACACTTTACAATGATTGAAAATATGATGGCTTTTAAGTGATAGAACTTTTAAGAAATTTTAAGTTATAGAACTCTTAAGTTACAGAGGTTTAAAGTCACAGCACCTCTATTTTTAAAACAAATTCACAAAGATTTCCTTTGGAGAAGAGGTCCAGGAGACCCAGGGGAAGGAGGAGCAGGGAGGGGAAGGAAGCACAATTAAGATATGCATGTACAGGAGCCTAACAACCTCAGCATTGTATGACAAAAATATGAGGTAAGAAGAATAATAGCAAGAATGAAAATGAGGAAAAGCAATTCGGAGTTGGGTGGGAAACAGAAGGGGACAAAAAAAAAAAGCTGTATTCATTGCATGTACCTACTACCCAAGATTAATGTAACCATGCCCTGCAAATATGTACTTATAAAAGAAAAAAATTAAAAATACAAGAAAATATTTATCTTGACAATTTATCAAAAAAATAAATTTTATAATGAACATACTTTACTTGTAATGGAACTGAAAATAGACTAATACATTTTTGTTATTCTAATCACCATCAAATAGAGGGAAAAATCATAGTCATCTAAATAAGATTTTTGTTTTCTTTAATTCTCAAATTTGTTTCTATTAAACATTTGAAGTTTATCTGAGGTAAAATCTTAATGATTGTTTCTTGACTATGTATTGGGATATTGAGTTTTTAATCGTTAGCTTTGAGAATTTGTAAGAGTTTAACTTACTTAATTCCTAACAGAATAAAGTTTAAAAGAACCATAACCAATCTGAACATGAAACCAAAAACTGTGGCTGGTGAAAGCACGAGCTGGGATTCCTGCCTGTCCTCAAAGGATCAAAAGATAGAGACAATGGCATAAAGAAGGGACCAGTGTACACTAACTGCTCTTTAGGATATAGTAGATGTAGCACTAGGGAGGATGAGGAAAAGGGCAGCATTAAATTGAAGAGATACTCAGAGACTGGCCATTCAAGAGTAAGTACTATTGGTCACACCACAGCAGTATCAAAACAGACTTCACATTTAGAAAGAAATGTGTTTTAGAGTATATTGGAGACAGGAGGACTGGGAGATTATCAGAGTATTCAGAGGAGACAATAATCCTGTGATGGTTTAAGACCCATTTCAAAACTGTCGATCCTAGACTGGGTGCCCCACATATTCAGTAATACATATTTACTTCAATATTTAGCAAGGGGAAATTCTGAGTTTTCAAAGGTGTGTATTTTTTTCACACTGTCTTCATTTAGCTCACAAAAATGAATTTCATCAGGCCAAAATCTCATCATTTATGGTCTGTAACACATGCTTAACTTTAAATGGAGTTTTCACTTGTGAAAAGGCGCTTTGCTTTCCAGCTCTATGTGATATTTAAGTAGCATTTTAAAGCTATTTGTATTTTCCCACTTCACCTTTTCAAACTCATTAACATGGATAAAAGTATTTAATATAAGAACATTTCTAATGCTATGCAGGAAAAAATGATGACCTTTTTAAACAAATTGAATTTTAAATGAATTGTCAACAGAAGAACAGACTAAATATATTAACATCTAGAGTCCTGTGGAAATTAAAAGTGAATTCAATCAAAGTCCATCATGCTCAGCTCTGCCAGGCTCTTAGTTTGGGACAATGCTCTGAGTGTGAGCTCTGTGGTCAAGTGGACCAGGTCTCACAGAATTTTAATTTATGTGGCTTTCTTGATAGATCCGGTATACTCTTGGAGGTGATTTTTATTAGTAAATTTAACCATTAAAGTAAAAAAAAACGCCAAAAAAAATTAATCATCCTTTGGGGGCCCAGGGAGATGGCTCAGTGGAATAAGCGCTTCCATGGCAAGCGCAATGGCCTGAGTTCAATCCCCAGTTCCGCCAAAAAAAAAAAAACTTTCTGTTTCCTGAGGGGGTGTGGTGAAGGTAAAAAGTCTTAGATGAGAAGAGTATTCTATGACTTCAGGTTCCTCCCTGGGTGCTGTTGATTTCGTAGCATCCTTACCCAAGCCCCTTTTCTCCATGGTACCTTTGGGCCTGGTGACAGTATTGTTACTTAAACCTGCCTAGGCCCTCTCTCTGCCTTACTCCCTCTGCTATCAACATCCTTGTATCCCCCCAGATAAGTATATAGAAGAAATGGGTCAATCACTATTTGATGAACTAATACAGTTATAATTATCCTCTGTCCTATGCATAGTTGTGCAAGATTTTTAAATTTAAAATATCATGGTCTAAATGAATTTGTTTTAATATAAATCCACTAATCTCAAGGGGCCGGGGAGATAGCTCAATAGAATAAGCCCTGGCAAGCACAAGGGCCTGAGTTCAATCTCTAGTTCCACCAAAAAAAAAAAAAAAAAAAAAAAAAAAATCCACTAAGCTCAACATATGATGCTAAAATTGGTTTGGCTCAATATGTGATGCTAAAACTTTGCTAAAGAGAACTCAAATTTTTTACTCTTATTGTCCCACTCAACAAAAGTTTAAGCTGATAATTGCAAATAAGCAATATCATTGCTATCTTCTGCTTCCTTCTATAAGAAAGGGTCTTGTTCAAGCTTAAAAATATCTACACTCTCTCGGCTGCATCCATGCCACAGAAATAAAAGATGGTGATTTTCCAGGCCTAAAATGATGTAATATATAGTCTGTCCTTCAAAGTGGAGCACTTGAGTGCTTCACATCTGTGTGCCTTGGTGTTATTCGCATTTTAATTCTTTTAAGGTTTTCCTTAAATATTATCATGTGGAACAGTTAAATCTAATGCGAAAGGAAGCCATTGACAAGCTTATTTTGATCCAAGCCTATGTGAGAGCATTCTTGGGTTCAAGAAGATACCAAAAACTCCAGCAGAAAAGGAAAGAAAGCGCTATAGTAATACAGTCAGGTAACTCCTCAGGCCTTCCCACAGTGTGACCAAGCATGCATGCTGCTGTGTCTAGACATGGGCCTAAAATCCTCTGGCCCTTCTTGTATAAAGACCACCAACTTTATTATGGATTTATGCCAAGCATCTACTGCTTTGATACTTTCTCTATATTAAATCTAAACGAGATTATTTTGGTGATTGACACTTTTAATATTTGAATGAATGTTTTCTTGAGGATTAATGAAACATAGTTGGCCTATTGTGCAAGCTGCAACAAGTGATTGAATTAATTATGACTCTCAAAAATCAGTATACAGTATTATAACTCATTGGACAATAAGACTTCCTACTCTGTTTCAAAGGTTATGCTTGCCATAATTGTTGACAACTTAATTAAATTTCATTTTGATAAAGGGCATCCCTTTTTATTAATTCTTGAAAAATAATATCTGTAACCATACTTTACTTCATAATTTTTAAATGTATTAATACCCTTTGGGTTTCACTTTCTGTCTTTCCTTATGACATAAATTTAAATAGAGCGTAGCATGGTTTGATACAATGTCTTTCAAATTTTTTCTACTACACATATAGTAAAAAAAGTATATCTTACTTGTTAACTGAACTTGGTACATACAACAAACACTGTGCTCTAATATTTTCTTTTCTAATCTATTCCATTTTATTTTTAGATTCTAGGTTGAACCCTCCAAGTTAATTTTATCACTTACTGATAGGGCACATCTACATTCTGAAGAACTGCAATACAGTGGGCAGAATAGCTAACTAATGTTGAAGAGTCCACATTCCAGGCCCAGTTCTGTTAGTCAGGAATGGGCTATCAGTTTTTCTGTCAGAATTTTACCTAGTTAACTTTTCAATAAGACATCAAAATGCAGTCTCAGTAGTTTGCTATCTAATTCTTTATCCATGATTCTGAAATCCATAAAGCTCAAATAAAAAAAGTTTTATATAACAGATTTGACAGTGAAACATATGTTACGTGAAAGAAGTTACTTACAATCCTCTGTTCATTCCCCTTAGTTAAAACATTTGGTATTTTTGAAGAAATATGTATAAGCTTGACTCTGACATGCTGCCCTAAATGGAGATGTTGTAGCCCATACATTTGCTCCGTGTTACTTTACTAAAATCTTGTTTCTTTTCTTTTCCTTTTTCTTTTTCTCTTTTTCTATTCTTTTCTTTTCTTTTTCTTTTTCTTTTTCTTTT